TTTACCAGTCTTGGTCACAAAAGATTAATTTCACCGCACACACACACCGCGCCTACTATTTGTCAGACCGTGTCCTTTCCTTATGTCCTTAACACTATACACTTATTTCTCTACACTAACTAATATTGTCCGTATACAAAAAATGTCCAAATTTTCTTAAAAAAACTTTACTTGCGCGGCGAGACCACGTCGGGGTCACCAATGTGGGATCGGGAAGATAATGACTCCGCTCTGTTCCGTTCCGCACAATTTTATTGTTGCTGTCGTACAACGACGTGACTCGTGGTGCGGGTTACGCTCGACTCTCTGGTACGATCATCGCCACCGTACCAAGAGGCCTTCAAAAACAAAAGACGGTCAGAGACGACGACAACGGCTTTTCGGCTCACGCGGCTCTGGTCGTCTCGTGTGCAACCATCGTCTCGTGTGCAACCATACATTGTAGCGGCTTCGAACGGCTAAGGCGTATGTGGTGCCTTGGCCGCCACAGTACAATAAACTCGATCGATCGACGTTGCACAGTTTCAGTAAAAGAACTATGGAAGATTAAATTCCACACGTGCATATCTCGAAACAATTTTTTTATCTTCTGCATAAGTCAAGAGCTTAACTGTTCTTACTTCCTCCCAACTATAGATACGAAATGCACGAGCGTTGATCGAAATTAATTAAAATACCATTCGAAGGTTTGGTATTGGTAACCTGTACCAGTGCCCTCGTATTGTTAAATTTCAGTAAAATTCGGGACGGAACGGCCCGCGAACGGTCGTTGGTTTCAGCGATTCGGATACGGTATTATCTTCGGTGAAACTTCGTAGATCCTTCTGAAACCACGAAGGTTATCGCGACTCGCGGGCCAAGCTGGACGCGCAATTAAATCGCTCGCGAAGCGTGGCGAGCTTATCTCTCCGAACTTAGCTCCTTCCGCATCCGAGGCTTACAATTAATTAACGTCAACGAGACTGATAAAAGTGTTGGGTTGCGTAAGACACTGGCGCAACGCGCCCCGAGGATCTCACACGCAGCATGCATGTGATTCTTGGCCTCGATTCCGATCCCTAGGGCCACACGGAACGCCCTCGATACGCGCCTTCGAGTCTCTCTAAACGAGGGATCGACTACTTTTCAACGACACGGTCCCCATTGGGACATCGAGGTTTACGAGGGGGTCGCGTTAAGGTTCGTAAAGAGGGTCGCGTTAGGACAGATTCATAATGCATAGAAGGTTTTCACTTTTTGTTACGTCAATTACCGAGGATGGATAAATATTTTATGAGTGGATGATGTTGAAAGGATGAGGGGAAAGGTTTCAATTAGACTCCAATTGTGTAGATAGGGGGTCATCAATGTAGGACAGTAGTTCCTGAACTTGATCAGTCCTATTTCGAAACAGTGCTTGGGATCGAGACTCGTGAATATTAATTTTCCACCGTGCATTAGTCTAAATTACCATTGTCCAAGAATGTTTCCAAGGACGGTTGCCCGACAGTCGATGGATGATACTTTGATAGTTGATAGATGGTTTCTTAAGAGTCGTCTGATGGTTGCTGGAGGATTGCTTGACTGTTCCCTTGCCGGTCGTTGGACGATTCTTTGACAGTTGACGGATGATTGCCTGAAGGTTCTCTAACGGTTGCCTGATCAGTCGATAAATGATTCTTTGATAGATTACGCCCGACGATCGATGGACGGTTGCATTACAGATGATACGATGCGCGTTTAACGTTCGTTCTACGATTCTCTGATGATTCTCCGACTGTACATAGCTGATCTTTGACGGTTGATGCTTGATAATTGACAGTCAGTTGCTTGATGATAGTTTGACGATGCTCGACTGGTTGATAGACATGAGAATCAATGAGGATTCCTTGACAGTTGTTGGACGATTGCTTGATGATAATTTGACGAGTTTTTGAAGATGTTTGACGATTGCTAGACCTGAGAATCAATGAGGATTCCTCGACAGTTGGTAGACAATTGCTTGATGATAGTTTGACGAGTTTTTGAAGATGTTTGAGGATGTCTGACGATTGCTAGACCTGACAATCAATGAGGATTCCTCAACAGTAGTTGGACGATTGCTTGATGATAGTTGGACAAGTGTTTGATGATGTCTAACGGTTGCTAGACCTGAGAATCAATGAGGATTTCACGACAGTTGTTGGATGATTGCTTGATGATAGTTGGACAAGTGTTTGACGGTGTTTGACGATTGCTAGACCTGAGAATCAATGATGATTCCTGGACAATTGTTGGACGATTCCTTGATGATAGTTTGACAAGTATTTGACGATTGCTAGACCTGACAATCAATGAGGATTCCTCGACAGTTATTAGACAATTGCTTGATGATAGTTGAACAAATGTTTGACGGTGTTTGACGATTGCTGGACCTGAGAATCAATGAAGATTCCTCGACAGTTGTTGGACAATTGCTTGATGATTGTTTGACGAGTTTTTGAAGATGTTTGAGGATGTCTGACGATTGCTAGACCTGACAATCAATGAAACGGTTTCCTTCCAGTCAATGTATCACGACAATCGATGAACGCAACCGACGAGAGGTCTATTGACCGACGAACGGTGCTAGTCGTTAGATCAACCACCGTCGATCCAGATGTGGAGTGTTGATCGCGGTACCAAGAGTTTCGCCGCGTATCGCAACGACTCCGCAGTTATCTCGCCGGTATTGCACAGCATCTGTTTGCGTTGTATTTTACCCGTATCTCGAATGTTTACTAAACAGTTTCACCACGACGATATTTGTTATTATCGTTTCCCCGAAGCGCGTCCCTGTTTTGAGATTTTAGCAACGCGGAAACGGTGCACGAGCGTGCTCGGGGACGAGAATGATCGAGAAGGCGGAATCCTTGGAATTGAATTACTCGCGACTCCGCGACGGGGCTCGTTTTGGGGAGGAAAAAATTATTTCAGCCACCCGAAACGGTTTCGCGTACAACCGGGACGAGCGATAAACGATTTCGCGCCGGTTCTCCGCTCGTAAAAATTCAGAAGGCACGTTTCAAGGGGTAACGGTAACTCGTAATCGTCGGATCGCAAGGCGGAGTTCAGATCTAAATGAAAATCTAAACGCGAACCGGCGAGATTCTCGATCGTTGGAGCGTGGCAAGGCCACAACCGTTAACTTGGCGCGGAGCATTCGGAGGATTCCCGGATACCAGAAGGTTCTCTCTTTTCGACGTTGCGCGTAAACGACCGGAGACGTTTTGCAACGCCATCGATCCCGCTTGTAATCGGAATACGCGGACGGGAAGGAAATTACGGGGAAACGATCGATCGCGCAAGGTTTTGGCACGAGCCTCGTCCCTGACCGACGAGACACGCAGCAATAGTGACTCACGGGATCTGTCGCATCGTACGGAATAATAATAACTGGAAAACAAATTAAACACGATTTTTATCTTTTCACTTATTTATTCGTTTTATGGATCATGGAATTCCCAATCTCAAGATTCTTGTTAATTTTCGTGAATCATACGTGGAGCATGCACCCTTGGCTTCGATTCAATATACTCAAAATTTGCATAAATTTATTTTCGATCCAGCTTCGATATTTTATTTTGGCAATTTTCGGAGCGTACCAAACCAATCGTTTTATTTAAATTACATATTCTGTACGCTCGTCTATTTTTGTAAATTTTCGTATTGTGACCAGGTATTAAGAAACAGTCGTATTGACAAATTTAGAGCCTGTTGCGAGACCTCGAGTTTGTGGGTTAGGCTCCACCATGACTCTTAATTGATCTTCGTTTAAAATGGATTTGGGTCTCCCTCGAGGCTCGTTTTTCACGGTTTGGATCCCCGGAACGAAACTTTTCGAATCACCGTGAAATAGTTTTATCGTTAACGTTGTATACAAATATTCAACGAATTTAAACTAGAAACGATCGAGATGGCTTGCAAACGATACGAGATAATTTTATTATTTGGAAAATATATGATCGTTCAACTTATATATATAAAAGGAACAGTGAAGGATATTTATAATTTAACTAATTCGAGATCAAAAGAAACGACTTTTGTACATATACGACACTATAATAATAAGAAGAAAGTGTCTCGCGTTTGCTTTCGATATGATTCACTGGTTTAGCGTCGAATGTATTGTTACGAACGCGTTTATGAGATGGAAAATGATACAGGTCGTAAAAATGGTGGAAAGAGGCTAATGTACGATGGAATTTTAGACATAAAAGCGAACAGTGTTGTGCTTTTATAGTATTATATGAATGAAAAACAATGTTTCTTCTCGATGACGAGTCAAAAAGAGTTCCAAGAGTCAAAAAATAAAGTTCCTAAAAATTTGTAAGCATTCGTTCATCATAAATGTTGCAAACGACCACCAGTAGCAACTAAAATTGATATAATTAGAAATACAAAAAAATGCCTCTTGGACTTAGAGGTCAGTGACCTTTTTTTTATAAACAATGTTATTAAACATTGTGAACGACCACCAGTAGCAACTAAAAGGTCACTGACATCTAAGTCCAAGAGGCATTTTTTTGTATTTCTAATTCCATCAATTTTTAGATAAATTGTCCTTTCAAGTTTACAAAAATTACCAGAATCCTCCAAGATTTTTTTAGCGCCAATAGCAAATTTCTGGTTGCAAAAGTAAGATTCCTGCGTGTAAGTTTGAGGGGCCTTACGATCCGTGAATCCTTTGGAAGGGCGATAATAGGGTTGGTACATATCGATCGTCGATCACCTGGTGCTAAGACCCGCGCCAAGTCCACGGCGATGACATAAGTCGCGATCGAGCCAAGGATGTAAACACGCGCGCGGCGTTTTTCGGTATTTCGTAAGATGGCTAACAAGTTGAACCTTGGGGTATTATCGCCGTGCGCTAAACTTAGGAGCGCGTCGGTGTGCAAGTCGGCGGAAAAACGGTCCGACGGGGTCCGAAAATAGCTGAGCTGAGCCCCACGAGCGAAATAGGAAGGCCTGAGCTAATCCACGCTCCCCTTATGGTTTTTCAGATCCGAGCGAAAGTGAATCGAGACCCGATCGAGAACGGACCCACGAACTGCGCGACCTACGAGAGCGAACAGGTAAGCTCCGCGAACTTTTTCACGCGCCACTTTCGCCAGAATTCCGAAAGTTCAGAAAATATATTTTAAAAAACAACAGAGAGTGTGTACCCCTTTTGGATGACTCACGGCATGCTTGATTGTAAATCTGTCGTGACTTAAATCCAGGGAATTAACATTCTAAAATTTACGCCTAGGGATTTTGTTTCCCAAGAAAAAGTTGTTTTCCTCCAACGTATGGGAACTTTATTTTTACGAAAGTGAAAATTTCATCCTAATTTGTATGCTGAAAAGGTTGTCTTCGAGGTCTCCGACAGTTGCAAAGTGCTATAAAGAGTCTCCCCGAGTGACGCGTCTTTTAACCTTTTTCACAAAATCTGCATTTAATCCAAGAGCAATCTCCATCCGGTCTTCGTCGTAATATTAAAAATGCTGTTTACGCGTGCGACACGTTGATAATCTCTCAACACTGACTCAGTACACGGTAGAAATAGTAAATACGTAATTGATCGAATGATTCAGACTGTATCGAACCGAAGTAAATAGGAGTTGCGGAATTATTATCGTCTTCTATTATTTTACATTCTATGGTTTCTTATCTAACTCTAATCATTAATCATTATTAACAATTGACGCGTAATCGTGACTAACAAACGCAATTACTTTCGACAATAAAGAATGACTAACGACTAGGGAGATAGCAGACACGTAAACAACCTTCGTTTCAATTATTTAACGTAAAAATAGTTTTCGATCCGAAAGTTTGTAATCCTAACCTCGATGAGTGGAGCAACGCGTAGATCGTAAAAATACAAGATGGCGGTCGCCGGGCGCAGCTCGATGAACTTCGTCCGTGGCTGTTCGACCGTGACCACGTTCGGAGACAATTATTCGAATGGACTCCGGCTCGAGCTCGCACGAAAAACCCTCGACTTTCGAATGCTCGGTTCTTTCCCGAGGCCAAGTTTAAATGCCAAGTAGCATCCCGGGGATCGCGAGGAACATTCGTAACCCAGTTAGCCCGAAGGTTCCTCCTACTTTCACCGACCGCGAAGTCTCGTTCGGTCTCATTCATCTCGGTGGAACGGCGACCTGGTCAAAGTACCGTTCGAATTCTTCGCGCGGCGTCCGCCATTGCGTCGAGCTGGCAACCGGGTTGCGCGTGCAACAAGCTCCAGGTGGCGGTACATAATTTTCGACGTTCCGGGCGACCACTTTCACTGGCTCCGCGAGAGTATCCGCGCACCTGACCCAATTGACAGAGTCGAAGATATCCGCCCGGTAGGCGATCAAGGTCGTTCGAGAGCTCCCTATCGCGCCGACAGGTGAAAGAATCGACCAGGGGAGAACGATTCGCGAAACGACCGTTCCTAACCTCTCGCTGTCGTTGAATCCGCTCGCGCCGCCATTACTGCAGCCGTAGTCGTAACGATCAATTAGAATCTATCGAAAGCTATCGACAGAACCCTAGAAAGTGTGGAGAGTTTTCTCAAAAACAGGAAACATTATCGGTAGCAGAAGGAGTAAAATAAATGACAGCCACAGGTTAGCGATAATATATGTATTCAGATGTTACCGACTCGGTGTGTCTAGATCGAGTCTGGGCTCGTGTCCCTTATCTCGTTCTCTGAAACGAAACACCGACGGCTTCTCGAAGTTTCGCCACCGTTCCAGAGTTCGGCCCAATTACAAAGGTGTCGCTAGTATTTGCTGAGGTCAGCTCAAACCAAGGGGCACACGAGTGTCGAAACGACGTGAGTTTTTATATTTTTGCTTATCTTACAATTGAAAATAACCAAAAAGGACATAGAAACGTCGAGTATTGTCTGTCCTTCGTGGTTTTCAATTGTAAGACAAGGAAGAACACAGAAACGTACATACGTCGTTTCGACGCTCGTGTAACCCTAACCTCAAATTCGCAGAATCCTGCATAAATAAAGAGTTCGTGAAAATTCGAACAGAGGGATCACTGGTTGCGTAGCATCGTCTGTCTGCTTTCCTTCTCGACTTTATCTCGAAATCGTCCGCCTTAATCGCCAGGCGATAACGTTAATGTCGTTGATAGCGTTGCTGCGACATTGACGTTATCGCGACACGTTAGACAACGATCTACGATTTCGACGAAATTCGTCTGCGTCGGTCGTTCGCGCAACCGGAAGCGGAAACGGTTCAAGGTCCCCTTCTCGTTCTGCAATGGTGTCGATTAGCGATGATTTTACACCGGGGTTGATTCGATCCGTGACACTTTGTACGGACGATTTTCTCGTTTTGTCAAGGTTATTGACATTATTCGCTCGGATTGATATAGTTTTGCAAAGAATGCTTTCGCCAAAGTGCACGAGAATCTGGAATATTTTCTAGACGCGTAAATGAAAAGTCATCGTTTCGTTCATAAATTCCAGATTTTCATTTAAAAAGTGTACCATCGTACCGTTACTTTTTGACGAAGTCGAGCTATAATCCTATTATTTACGGCTGTTCCCTTCTAGCAGGGGTTATAGATTTTTATTTTACGATGATTCATACGTCGAGTTGCTACGATAATTATATGGCTGCGCCGTACTAGTACGATCGGTTTGTAAAGCAACTCCGCTCGCTTTTCAATTATTGTTCAAACTGACGTATCAACGATAGTTGTACAAATTACATAATACACACTACCACAAACTACTAGTAATTATAAATTACCGCAAGAGCTAACCTTATATTATTAGTGTTTATTGATGGATCTAGTTTTTTTTAGCGAATCTGTCGAAAGCGTTTTGAAGTAAACGTATAATTGAATGCTGACTAAGACTATTCATTGCGGCTAGTCAAGTATTTTTCCAAATGGGTGGTTGGAATGAACAATTAAATTGCAGGTTATACGAATTGTAATTTATCTCCTTCCTTCCCTACGTATTCTTTTATGTACAATGTGTCATCCGGGCTTTCCGTCATTCGTGGACAGGAAAATGGGTTTTGTTTATCGACACGGAAAGATGTCGCGCGGGCCTAGCGCAAGTAGACTGCGGTCGCCATCTTGGTAGCTTTTTACGTCGTACGTAATCCTCGTAAACGTACTCATCAAAACACGCTGTTGTTTTGTGATTTTCCATTATGCGAATGACACAGTGTAACCGACACCAATTTATTGTTTTGCTAATCCGTTGTTGGTGTAAACCATTCCTCTGAACACTCGTGAACACTATGTTAATCGCATACTACGAATTCTGCGTCGTCTCTAATTCTACTTAAACCATTATAATTCAATACAATATAGCTGCTCGTTCGAAATACCAGTTTCAGTGTTGGTAGAAATTTTTTTAAAATTAGTTCATTTATTAGTCCATATAAATTAGGTTTATTGCAAATAACTTTAATTATTAAGCTTGAACGTGTTCATTGAAAAAGCTTATTCGGAAATCGATAGGACCAAATATTCCAAATTTGCAAATGTGTTCAAAAATAATTTTCGACCGTTGCTTGGTCGTTAATTAATTAACTAGCGTGATTGCTCTTTTGTCTATTAGCAAAAATCTGCAGGTGCGCAAGCTGTCTGTCTTCCAAAACGAGAGACGAGTTGGCTTGACGTAAAAATAGACGTATCTGGCATGTTTCACAGTCAAGGAAGTGGCCTTGAGCGACCAATTGAGTCCGATACGAACGCAGTGGACTGCATTTCCTTATGTCTATCTTGGTAGTTGTGTGTCAGAAAGGAATGTAGCTTCGACGTCAGCCGATAGATTCAGTCATATGTAGTCCTTAGCACGTGCGCTGCTGTAACTCAATTTTACCAATGAAACCGTTGCTTCGATACTACCATCCCTCTTAACGTTCTCCTTATCATCGAGGGGTACTCGATCGACCCAAATACTATTGCATGCAAGGCCATTTTCTATTTGGCTAGAGTCTATAATACTCCAACAACTCTACCAGGAACACTGCAGGAACGAGCTAATCCATTAGAACCTGGGACAGGTTGTAATGTCATCTCTATACGTCAAGAACGATTTTCTGCTCCCCCTGTCGTGTGTTCCTCGAAAAGAAGCCGCTTATTCTTGGCGAGAGCCTTCGACGGCCAGCTTTCGGAGCCGCGTGCATTCTGATAGATATAGTGGACGGTCTCATTAACATTCCTCCGCGTTCGTGTAATCTGAAATGCGCGTTGGCATACTGGTGTTCGCTCCTACGCGTTTCTGTTTTTTTCTTTCTCTTTCTGGAACGTTATGCAGCGCAGGGGGCTGCGTCTGCGCAGAACGGAACGCCAGCTCGACGCACGCCTCCGCATGGACCTAGATCTCGAGCCGCGAGAACCGGCGCCGGCGTTGCACCGCGTCGCAGTGCACACCGCGTGACGTCATCGGTGGCACGTGCCCCTCCCCTTGCCCGCCAGCCGCGCCGCGCGCACCGCGGAGCAAAACGTTCGCTGGTACCGGCGGGGACCGGCGGGACGCGGACGGGGATCGTCAGCGGCATCGCGGAGCCGGGGTACGGGGGAGGGAGGGGGGCAGTAAGGTCACCGTGGCCCTGACTGCACGCGCGCGAAACAATATCCGTGTGCAAGCATCGGTGGCCGCCGCGCGAGCGCGCAGAACGACAGCGAATAGACCGCCGCGCGTGGAAGATTTATTTCTAGTTCCGCGATCTCTCTTTCCACTCTTTCTAGCCAACATTTCGCGAGCCTCGAGCCGGCACGAATTCGAAACGCGAGAGAACCTTGACCATCGCCACTCGACAGCCTCCCCCTTTTTACACGAGGATGCATTGTTCCGAGCGCTGAAAAGACGCGGCGCGCGTGGCGGACACGAGGCGCGCGACCGCGCTGGAACCAGGGTCGCAGTTTTGCACGAGCGATCGATAACCGGATAAGATCGAAAGGACGCGGGGAATTTGGGAAGGATAACTATGCAATTTAATATATCGACCAATTTGCATTCTTTTCAACGAGACAGTATTTGATTAGAAACACGACATATCAAGATATACGGATGGATTCTGGCCCCTTTGTAGGTCGGAAAAGCCCACTTGCAACATCGTAA